CCTGCCGCAGCCGGGCGGGGACGCTGGAGAGCCCCATGGTGATGCTGCCGCTGGAGGCCGACCGCGAGGAGATGCGCATCCTCAAGGTGTGCTTCTACAGCAACAGCTTCAACATGGGCAAGAACTTCAAGCTCGTCAAGTGCCCTGTGACCACGGAGATCCGGGTAGGTGGCCGTGGGGACACGCTGGGGCCAGGTTGTGAGGCCCTTTGTGCCCCCATGAGCACGTGGAGGTGTGTGCCCGTGGTGGCCGTGCTGGGTTATCTGCATGGTTGCTCCAGCTGCCTTGCTGCAGCCTCCCCGGATAACCCGGAGTGAACTGGGGTTGTATCCGTGAAGATCCCAGTGCCAAGCTCATTTCTCATGGCCATAATGTGCAATGCTGGCATCCTGTGGCCACTATGGACCATGCTAGTGTCCCATGGCCATAATGTACCAGACTGGGGTCCCATGGCTGTAAAGGACCACAAGGGGAATGGTTATAATGTACCATGCTGGCATCCTCTGGCCACCATGGACCCTGCAGGTGTCCCATGGCCACTGTGTACCGTGCTGGTGTCCCATGGCCATAATGTACCAGACTGGTGTCCCATGGTTATAATGTACCAGGCTGGTGTCCCATGGCCACCATGGACCATGCTGGTATCTTCTGGCCACCATGGACCATGCAGGCGTCTCGTGGCCACCATGGAAAATGCTGGTGTCCCATGGCCATCATGTACCAGGTTGATGACCCATGGCCATAATGGGCTATGCTGGTGTCCCATAGCTAGGATGTGCCAAACTGGTATCTCGTTGTCACCGTGGGCTATGCTGGTGTCCCATGGCCATGAGGGGCTGTGCTGGTGGTCCCATAGCCATAACGTATCAACCATGCTGGTATCCCATGGCCACAGTGTACCAGGCTGGTGTCCCATGGCTTTGAGAGAGTGACAGAGCACTGGAGCAGGTTACCCAGAGAGGCTGTGGAGTCTCCTTCTCTGGAGATGTTCAACACCCACTTGGACACCAAGGCTCCAACGGGCTCTAGGTGACCTTGCTTGTGCAGGATGTTGAACTGGATGATCTCCAAAGGTCCCTTCCAGCTTTAGCCATTCTACAGCTTTAACTCTCTGCTCACTGCAAGACTTGGCCTGCGCAGGTCACTGCCAGCCCCTTCGCAGGCAGTGGGGAGCAGCAGAGAAGCCACCAAGCCTGGCAGTGCAGGGCCACCATGGGGACACCCGTTCCCATTCCAGGGTGTCCGTGCAGCTCCCCAGAGCCTCCCTCATCCCACCAGCTGTGCCAGGACCTGCTCAGACCCATCCTGCTGGGTGCTAGGTCACAGATACCTGGAGACTGGGAGATGCAAAGATATTTCTTCTCTGTTCTCTTCCCCACTCCTCTCTTCCCTGGTGAGGACGTGGGGCGGGTGTGAGCCGGGCTGTGCTCTGCCACCAGCGTCTGCTCTGGGGCTTCCTCATGGGGTGCTGCTGTGAATCAGCACTGTGAATCTCCACTGGAGAGCAAAGAAGGCAGGAAATGACCCGGTCAGATTTCATCCTGGTCTGAGACACCAAGTCAAAGAGCTTGGGCAAGACACCTCAAGGCTGCGGGTTGCTGCAGAGCAGGTTGGCCAAGGTCGAGGCGTCTTTGGAGGCCCCAGGTGGAGCCCCTTGGGGCTAATGTCTGTGCGTGGAGCTGTGTTCTCGCTGCAGGGACATTTCTGGTGTGGTCACGTCGGGTTTTGTCTTCAGTTTTGAGCTCTCTGCGTTCACGCTGTAGACACAGGCAGGGCCCTGCAAAGGGCAGCTGCGAATCGCGCTGCTCGGGTGATGGTGTCAGCCCTCATGGCTGCTTTTCCCTGCCCTCTGCCAGGAGGTGATCAAGTCCATCCTGGTGAGCGGCCGCATCGGGCCCGACATCAAGCTGGCCGAGTGCTACGGGCTGCGCCTGAAGCACGTCAAGTCGGACGAGATCCACTGGCTGCACCCGGACCTGACGGTGGGCGAAGTGCAGGAGAAGTACGAGTGCCTGCACCTGGAGGCCGAGTGGAGGTCGGTGGGCAGGGACCCCGGCGGCCGGGGCAGCTCTGCACCCCCGTTAGGGGTGAGGGTCCCCGCGCAGAGCCGAGCGAGGGGCTCTCCTGTGCTGCAGGTATGATCTCCAAATCCGCTATCTCCCGGAGGATTACATGGAGCGTTTCAAGGAGGACAGGACCACGCTGCTCTACTTCTACCAGCAGGTCAGAGGGGTTCATGGTGTCTCCTGGCCTCAAGCCCAGTGCAACGTCACTCTGATGGGGTGCACAAGGCTGCTCCGGCCACCCCAACTCGCCTCCAGAGCCCCTGCCCCAGCACCAGGAGGGCTTCTCCTCCTCCCCAGCCCTC